TTTTTCTAATCTGCTAGCCACTCTAACTGGAATCTTAAAGACTAATAAAAAGAGACAGGAAGGTTAGCTAATGTAGACCTGATTAAAGCGATTCTCCCACCAAGAGACAAATAGTTCTTCTTCCAAGTTGCTAGTCTCTTTTCAAACCTCTCCACTACCGAAACCCAAAACTCATCTTTCTGAGGGTTATTTCCCAATGGCAAACAGAGGTAGTTTAAGGGCCAACTAGATACTAYGCACTCCAAAATGTCTGCACACTCAGATGTCTCCTCCTCCCCCATATTGACCCCAACTATACAACTCTTCTCAAAATTCACCTTAAGGTTTGACATTTGTTCAAAGAGCTGTATAGTGAGATTCAGGTTTCTAATCCTATTAAGATCCCCTCCTTCACAAAAGAGTATCGTGTCATCTGCAAATTGCAAATGTGTGAGTGGCACATTCTCCCTTCCAACTCTCCAACMTCTTATTAAGTCCTTGGAATCTGCTCTAGAAATTAGTCTCCCTAAAACTTCATTTAATATAAATGATATGATGTTAATATGTTATCTTAAGACAAGTGGTGAAGTTTTGGGAGGACCAACCTTTTTTTTGAAGATCAAAAGAAAAAGTTTCATTCAATAAAACAGGAAGATACAATGTTTTGGTGAAAAGGAGTCACCCCTTCACTTACTAGAAAGACTCAAAGAAGAAACACAAAGATCACATATAGACTTAAACATTCAAAGTGTTCAAAAATCACCTCCGAAATTTGTTTTACTTAAGCCTTCAAATTCTGGCAAAACTAAAGCCCAACCAACGATCCTTGAAAATTCTSCTATTTCTTTCCTTACAAACCTCCCAGAAAACAGCAAAAGGAACACAGCTCCAGATTAATTTTGCTTTGACTCTTCCTTGCACCCTTAGCCAGTAGCCAAAGATCTCAGTACAATCTCTAGGATCCCACCCAGCCATACTGAAATGCTTGAAAAAGTAGGCCCAAATACTTCTAATGAAACTGCAGCTCACCAGCAGGTGAATAATAGATTCTTCATCTGATAAGCAAAGAGTGCATCTACTAGGAAACTGATGGTTCTTTTTCAGATTGTCTTGAGTCAGGATACTCCCCATTGAGATAAGCCATGCAAAAGCCCCCACTCTTGGGGGAACTGGCTTCCCCCAAACCCCTTTAACTGAATTGGACTCTACCTGATTTCTGGACAGAGCATTATAAAGAGACTTGACTTAGAATCTTCCATTCTTACTTTCTTTCCACCATCTAGCATTTGGAAGTAACAGGCTCACTTCCACCTCTTGAAGCTTCGCCAACAATCCCACACATTCTTCTATCTCCCAGTCAAACAAAGGTTTTCTAAACTTAGGACACCACACCACTGATCCATTGCAAAGTTCATAACATTGAGAAATAGGCACACCCTTCTTAGACTGTAAAGCCTAGGACATGGTTCAAACAACTTTGCAACCCCAATCCAGTTATCCTCCCAGAACCACTCCCCACTTTGCAGTCAAGAAATGGCTGAATCAAGGAGTTACATTTCATAATCCCTTTCCAGACGCTTACCCCATAGGAAGATCTAACCTCTCACATCCCACCTAAAATTCACTACTAAATTTTTGCAGGCCACCACCCTTTTCCAGAGAGCTTCCCTTTCTTTACCAAACCTCCAAACCCATTTCCCCAACAAAGCCTTGTTAAAAATTCCTATCCTTATCACTCCCAAACCCCCATCCTTCTTGGCCCAACAAACCAAGACCCATCTCACCAAAGTGATATTTCCTTTTCTCCACCTTTAGATTCCAAAGAAAGTTTCTCTTTAACCTTTCAATTTCTTCCACAACCAAAGCTGCTGGAGCCTTAAGCAAAGACAAGTGATAAATAGGGAAATTGGAAAGGACACTCTTTATTAGTGTGATTCCCCCCCCCCCCCCTTGCCTTTCCAACTTGCCAATCTTTGTTCAATATGGTCAATAACAGGTTGCCAAGAATGGGGAGCCCAAGATAAGAGAATGGGAACTCCCCTATGAGGCAACCCAAAGCCTCAGTACATTCCTCCAAATAGGACTGCTGAATCTCTCCCACCCCAATCATTACAGCTTTACTTAGATTGATTTTTAATCCCGAGAGAAATTGAAAACTTTTGGGGATTCCTCTTAAACTGTAAGCTTGCTCTACAGATGCATCCATGAAGATCAAAGTGTCATCAGTGTATTGAATATGAGAAATGGTTAATCTCTCAGATCCAATCTCGAAACCAGCCAACAAACCCACAGCTACTCCTCTATTCAACAGCTTACTTAAAACCTCCACTACTAGGACAAAAAGCAAAGGAGATAGGGGATCCCCCTGTCTCAAACCCCTTAAAGCCTCAAAGAATTTTGTTGACACCCCATTAACCAAAACTGAAAAGGATACAAATGAATGCACGCAAACATCCAGCATCTCTATTTCTCCCCAAAACCCATCCTGCTTAGCACTTCCTCCAAGAAACCCCCTTCTACATGATCATATTGCCTTTTCCAAATCAATTTTGCATGTCACTCCACCTTCCCTAGTTCTTATCCTCGCATCCACACATTCACTAGCAATCAAAGTTCCATCCAAAATCTGACGTCCATGTACAAAAGCCATCTGAGTAAGACCCACCATCAAATGAAGAACCTCTTTCAACCTTACTGATAGCACCTTGGCAATGACTTTGTATGGGCTTGATATCAAACTTATTGGCCTAAAATCTTTCACCCTGGTTGCACCTACGACCTTTGGATTAAGAGCAATGAAGGTAACATTCACAGATTTTTCAATCTTCTTCTCCATCCAAAGTTCCCTAAACATCTCAAGAAGCTCCTTTTTTATGATATTCCAACACATCTTATAAAATGCAATATTGAATCCATCTGGCCCAGGCACCTTATCCTCTTTCATTTTCTTAGTCACATTCCAGACCTCATCTTCCTCAAAAGCTCTTTCCAGCCATGCTTTCAGCTCCAGGTCTAGCTGCAGAAAGTCCAGCTCCCCTAGGTGACAAATTCTTCTAGGCATGGCTTTATAAAGGTTCCCATAGACTTTGCATATTTCTTCAGCTATTCCTTGCTGGTCCTCAATAACCTGATCTCCTTCTTCCAATCGCAATGTTGAGTTTTCCTTCCTCCCTCTCACCATAGCCTGAAAAAAAAAGCAGTATTTTTCTCCCCCTCTTTCAGCCACAATGCCCTAGCCTTTTGCCTTCAAGAGACCTCTTCAAGGTAAATCAATCTCTCCACCTCTTTCAGCCTCTCTCTCTCTCCAATCTCCTCTCCCTGATTGGAAATCATCTTCTTCCAGCCTGTTCAGGTACGACAACCTCTCCAGCACCTCCTTTTTCCTCACCTCTACATTCCCAAACACAGATATGCTCCAAATCTTCAAATCTTCTTTAAATTTTTGCAGTTTTTTCATCATGATGAATCTGGCTGAACCCAGGAACTGATAGGAGCACCACTTCTGTTCCACCAACCTATTCCGCTAGTGAGAACCAACCTTTTCCCATGAGAGAGGTGTGGTATGGCCCAACTCCCCCCAATGTCAGGATTTTTTGCTGGGAGGTTGTCAACCAAATCATAAACACCTATGAGAGGCTCCAAAGAAAGTGGAAACATTGATCTCTCTCTCTCTCTCTCTCTCTCCTCATGCGTTCGTTCTATGTTTGATGAGTGGGGAAAACACCAACCATCTTTTCTAACAATGCTCTTATGCCTCTAAACTGTGCCAGCTATTCTTCTTGTTGTTTGGAAGAACTTGGGTGGCACCAGATGAAGTGGTATACTTGTTCAAAACAGATTTGACAGGTTGTTGTACCTTGAGGCAAAAGCTTTTGTGGCAATATGTGTGTGGAGCAATAATATGGGGGCTTTGGTGTTAAAGAAATGTGAGGATTTTTGAAGAGAAATACAAGCAGGTGGAAGAAGTGTTCAAACTCACAAAGCTAAGGGCTGCTCATTGGGTTGTGATTTGTGACGATTTCAGAGGTGTTCCCCTCAATGATTTGCTAAGGGAGTGGCAGATCGTTGCTTTCAGATAACAAACAAAGGGTGGTAGAATGGCCCCCTCCTGTGGCAGGGGTGGTTAAACTCAACTTTGATGGGTGCTACCTTTGGAAATTCAGGGGCTTCTTGTGTGGGTGATCAGTGATTATTGTGGCAATAGAATTCTTAGTTATTCAGGTCTGGTTGGTCAGGGTAACTCATTGGGAGATGACCTTCTGGCCTTAGTCCAAGTACTAAAACTGTTGGTGATGCAGGAAAGAAGGAATGTGGAAGTAGAGGGTGACTGTCAAACAATTATCAGGTGAATGAGGACACAAGATCAGATCCCATGGGGATTTAGATCAATGGTGTGAGTGTTCACTTGCTGAGTGCTTCCTTGAACACCTCATTCAATTGGTTGCCTAGGAGTGCTAATAGCTGGCTGATTCTTTGGCTAGAGCTGGGTTTGGAAGGGAATGTTTGGAATGGGATTGCCCAGGGCCAGGCTATAATCTGTAAAAGTTGGTCTTTTCTCTTTTCATGCTGTGATTCTCCTTGTGTGGAGATCAGATTTATACTTTTTGGCCTGCTGCCTGATCTTGTGAGCAGTTTGGTGTTTTTTTTTCATGAAATATGTTCTTTTATTTATCAAAAAATCATTGAAAAAGAATGGTTATGCTGCCAAAAGCCCAGGGAAATATTTTATGAGACAAATCAATGTAGGGAAAAAAGATTTAACATAACATGTAATAGCTGCTAAAAGGAATTATGAGAATGAGCATATGAATATGGAAAACTCTTAGCGTCATTCTTTTAATATGCTGGATTTAATTTGAAGTTGTTACCTCGGATCCTAACTTTGTATCTTTTACCTAATTCAACCGTTGATAAGATTACATCTTTTGCAGATAATGCGTTTTTTAATACTTTTAAACTGTGTTGGAGATGGTAAACTTGGTCAAATAGTTTATGGAGATTGTGTGTTTCTTTTACTGCAGGCTGTCTATCAGAAAAATGGAAATATCTTCTTCTGCACAAGCATTCAAAAAGCAAAAGCATCTGAACAAAGTGCAATATCCTTTCCTGTGTATTTCAATTTTCTTCCTCGTATGCAACAAACACTTTCTGAGTGCTGGCATTCTCTTGTTGGTTCCATTTGCAGGACAACTTGATTCAGCCAAGGCCAAGCTACAAAAGTTAAATTCAGCTCAATAAATCCAACATAACATGATGGCTACATCTTCCATTTCTTGGTTGTCAATATCTAGCCTAGTGCAGATCCCCTTGTGTACCTGAGAATGACAACATTGTCAGAAGCGTTGCCATGGTGCCCAATTTGAAGGGGCTGCATAAATGCTGCGGTGGATTTGTGTTCTTTAAAAACGTTGCCATGTAGCAGCATAAACTGTATGCTAAATTGCAAGTCTACTTTCTAGAACACCAGATGCTATAAAAACTTTAGCACTTCCCCTCTAATGTGTTAGGTGAAGATGAATTAAGAATATGTGGTTTGGAGCTCATACAATTCCTACAACTGTTCAGAGCTATTTTTCTATTCAATGCTGAATTAATGTTGAAAAATTGAACTCGTAATGCCACCTTCATATTAAGTTCTTAAGAAAGAGAAACCATGACGAGAATGAAGCATTGAATGGTACACATGGTATATGGTATCTGATACTGGATTGTGATTGCACCAATGGAAAGAATAACAATGACAAGGGAGTAAAACAACAGACTCGCCAATGAATCCGTCACCTGTGTGGAAGAGAGTGGTTATGTTGAAATTGATGGAATGCCATGGGGTCTATGGAATTTCGACTTTGGAGAGCTTCGATGAGCTTCTTCACTGCATGAGCATTGGAATCAATGTTTTCTATGCCGAACAATTTAACAGAATTACAGAGCTTTGTGAATATAATGAATAGTGATAAACAAAATCTTGATTAAAAAAACTGAAAATTCTTTCTCGATTCTACATGTCTGCTTTTAGACAAAATTTCACAGAAACGATTGATTGCTCTTCACCAACATGTCTTGTAAGATTATGAAGAGTTCAACTACAGTGCATTTTGTATATTTTCTTTGGTTGAGTCAAAATTTCAACCAATTATATTAAAGAGGTTACACAATGGATACTTTCATATTCCACAAAGTAGAGAAGAAATTTTCTCCATCCCTGCCAAGTACCCGGCCTACCCAATCAAGCGGAGATGGGATGGAGATTCCCTTATCAGGGATACGGTGGAGATGGAATTAATAGGAATACCTAATTGGGGACAGGGAGTGAAGTCCACACCCCGCCCCAACCCTGATTCTATCTACTAAATATATGTGTATATATATTATATTAAATATATAATATTATTTATATTATTTATAATATTTTTATATTATATATATATATCAAAAATATATTTAAAATATTATTTGTTTTTTAATTTTTCCTTTATTTTAAATAAATACCTTTCTAAAAACAAACTTTTAATTAAAAATTTAGGGATTCAGGTCCCCGATGGGCAAGCCCTCTCTATCGAGTATGATCCTCAATAATTTGGAAAAGGAAGGAGGAAGATAATATGTTGATACAGCCTGCAAAAAATACAGGGATTTCTTAGATAGCTGCGACCTTCATGAGATTCCGATTAAGGGGCCTACTTTCACTTCGACCAATAAGAGAGATGGGAAAGGAAAAATTAGAGATAAACTTGATAGGGTGGTTGAAAACCAGCAATGGATAGATGAATTTAAAAATGCATCGGTTAGAGTTCAAGTCACTATTGGATCTGGCCATCTTCCCATTTCAATGGATATGGACTGTAGAAAAGGGACTAGGAAAATCTTTAGGTTTGAATAAATGTGAACTGATCATGCAGATTTCAAAAAAAAATTGCTAGAGAGTACTTGGAAACAATTCCAAAAAGGCCCTCCCCAAATCAAGCTAGGGAACAAATATAGAATTTTCACTTCAGTTTTGAAGGTTTGGAACAAAGTGCTTGGTAATGTTCAATAGAGAATAGCACAGCTAAAGAGGAAGTATAAGAAGAAAACTCAAAATTAGGCCTAGAGCACAGAATAGATAAAGTAAAGGATCTGGAAGCAGAGTTGGGTGTTTGGCTAAGGTGGGAGGAAATGATGTGGCATCAGAAGTCAAGGGTTAACTAGTTAACACGTGGAGATAGAAATACAAAATATTTCCACTTGATGACAAAAGGGAGGAGAGCTCGGAATAGAATTTCATGCATTAAAAATCAAGGAGGAGGTTGGGTCTCAAATGAAAAAGAAATAGTAGAGGTACTAGAGAATCACTTTAAGGGTATTTACCAAACTTCAAACCCAACTTCATCTGAAGAAATGTTGAGTGGGTTGGAGCGAAAAATTGTTGAAGAAGACAAGGAGTTTTTGGAAAAGCAACTCAAAGAGATAAAGGAGGCTTTGTTTCAAATGGTCCCAAGGAAAGCACCTAGACCAGATGGCCTCCCTAACCTTTTTCTTTCAAAAGTACTATGGACAGAAGTAGGGGTTGATCTGGTCAATGTTGTCCAAAATTTTTTATTAACAAGCAATTTACTAAGAGGATTAATGAAACCTTCACTGCCTTGATCCCAAAAGTAAATAACCTTGAAACAGCCTCTCACTTCAGACCAATAAGCTTATGCAATATTGTGCATAAAGTGGTAGCTAAAGTCATGGTCAATAGGATGAAACCAATGCTAGGAAAGCTAATTAGTGAAAACCGGAGTGCTTTTACCCCGGGCAGGTACATACAGGATAACATTTTAGTGGCCCATGAAATTATATATTTCATGAGGAAAACTAAGGGAATGACACACTAGATGGCTCTAAAACTATACATGAGTAAGGCTTATGACAGAGTTTGAATGGTGCTTCTTAGAACATGTCTTACATAAATTGGGTTTTGGTGAAAAGTGGATAAGGTGGGTAATGCAATGTGTCAAATCTGTCTTGTATCAAGTCCTAGTTAATRGCTGTCCAACCCAAAGATTCCATCCCCAAAGAGGGTTAAGACAAGGAAACCTCTTATCACCCTACTTGTTCTTACTCTGCTCTGAAGCTCTCTCAACGAAACTAATAGAGACAGTAAATCAAAGAAGGATTTTTTGTCTTAAAATTAATAGAAATTGTTCTATTGTCTCTCACTTATTTTTTGTAGATGACAATTACATTTTCACCAAGGCAAATCCTAAGGAAGGGCAGGTCCCATTGGACACTCTCAAATTATATGAGGGGGCTTCCGGATAGTAGGTAAATTTCTAAAAGTCTGAGATTTTTTTAGCAAAAATTTCCACCCAAGACTGTAGAAGTTGATGACTAATTTATTTAAAATGAAGAAAGTGGAAGCCCCCTCTATCTATTTAGGACTCCCTACAAACATAGGTAGATCAAAGAGAGCCCTTTTCAACTTTTTAATTGAAAGAGTGGAGAAGCTTTTGACAAAGCGAGAGAGCTTACTTCTGTCTCAAGCAGGGAAAAAAGTAATGCTAAAAGCAGTTGGAAGTGCCATCCCATCCTACACCATGCCCTTCTTTCTATTACTAAGGGGTGTATGTAATACTCCTAAAAAAATCCTTATTAAATTCTGGTGGGGAAGCTCTATAAAAGAAAAGAAAATTTACTGGGTAAAGTGGGATGTCCTAAGTAAGAACAAGCTGGCTGGGGGTTCAGGGTTCAAAGACCCTTACAATTTCAATGTGGATTTGCTGGCCAAACAGGCTTGGAGAGTTTACTTTGACGAGCAAAACATATGGGCCAAAATCATTAAATGCAAATACCTTAAGGGTAAATCCCTTTTGGATTCAAATATCCCAAGACATGGCTCATGAGGTTGGCAAAGCATTGTGGTAGCCAAAGAAGTTCTAAGGGAGGGGACTTGCTGGGCTATTAACTCAAGTACAAAGGTGAAAATATGGGAAGACCCCTAGCTTCCGAAGGTTCAAAGTTTTAGAATAATAGGACCGAGACAAAACAACCCAGATATAAAGTGGGTTAAATTTCTATGGATGRAGGGAGAAAAGAGATGGAATATCAATAGATCTCTAATTGAGAATCTGTTCGGGGAACCCTATGCAAGCAGTGTATCAATATCAATCTAGCAAATGGGAATTGGGATGATAAAGCTAGATGGACATTACACCCGAGTGGCCAATACACTGTTAAATCCGGGTATTATGTGGCAACAATGATTATGAATGACAGCCTGAGAAATAGCAGAACTAACTCCCAGGTTTTGAATAAAGTGCAATGGAATCAGGTATGGAAAGCAAAGATAGACCCAAAAATTAAAAATTTCATATGAAAATGTTGCAATAACTCCCTAGCAGTAAGAGGGAACCTTCAAAAAATGAAATTAACTGATGATAACAACTGCCCCATTTGTAGAACAGAGACTGAATCCATAATGCATTGCCTTTTATTGTGCGCTCATGCAAGCAAGACTTGGTTTGGTAGTCATTTCAGTCTTAAGCCTGACCAAGCTTTAAAGACGAAACCTTTTAGTTGTTGGCTCCCATCCTGGCTGGAAAGTTGCAACAAGATGAAAGAAAGGAAAGACGAGACTCTGTCTTTTTCTTTCCTCCTATTGTGTAACATTTGGAAAGAAATAAATAAAAAGATCTTTGAAAATGTTGATCCAGATCCAATGTTATGTTTGTTGGTGACTTACAGGATGTAGAGGGAGAGACTGAGGACTTTCCCCATAGAATAGTAAGATTCTTCTCAGAAGGCGGAGAAGGTTTTGTGGAAGGCCCCATTGCAATCACCAAAAACTTAACGTGGATGGAAGCTTTTTGTGCTCAGGGAAGGCTGGTTTTGGTGTAGTTTTAAGAGATTCATGGGGGAAGGTTTTAGCAGCTACTTTTGGAAGCTCAACTATTCAGGCAGAAGCCATACCAATCCTCAAAGGACTTCAGCTTTTAAAAGATAGATACCAAGGAAAAACTAGTGGAATCTGATTGTCTCTTGCTGATTAAAGCTCTTAATACCAGATCGTTTGATGCAGCTTCGGATGCTTTAAATTTTTTTTTTTTTTTTTTTTTTTTGCAAAGATATAGAGGAGGTTGCTGCAAATCTGAATGTTTCTTTTGGTTTTGTGAACAGTTGTTGTAATGGTGTTGCCCATGAGTTGGCAAAAAGAGGTCTAAGGGAGTCTGGGGTCTTTGCTCAGGATTGTCGTAATTGGATCCAATCGCTGGCAAACCAAGACTTGAGTTAGACCTATGAACTTGTTATGTTCTCTCAGTTTCTGTATTAGTAATTCTATTGCTTTTCTTACCAAAAAAAAATCACTCCCATTGAGCCCAGAGGTGACTTCCCAGTGAAGCTATTTTTAATAGGTTCAAAGCAGCTCAATCAAAACTGAAACCCTCAAAACCGGGCTCTGAAGTCTGAATAATTACCGTATTAATAAAGTTATGGTTGAAAAATAAAGTCTAAATGCTAACCAGTAACCATCAAACAAAAACACATAAATCTTAACGACCAAACCTAAGTTCTGATTGGCAAGCTTCTACTAATCTAGTTACAACAATGTTTTATAAATTTTAATTTATCAACACGCCCTGCCTACTATACCATTCACGTACATACTGATCTGGTAGAGGTCCAAAGTAAACCTAAAGTCACCATTTGGAGGTCTCAAAGGATGTTCATTGGGGTATAAGGCATCACGTTGCTGATTGTAGGGTTTTGTTAAATCAAATTCCCCATAGTTCAGTGCAGTTCAACATTTACCTGGTCCCATGTTCCAGATTTTATGTGTCAAGCATTCCTAAATGATTGTACACTGAACATTTCTAGTTAGTTTTCATGCCATTTGGCGTAAAAAAAAAACGCCAAACAGGATCAAAATTTGCTCCTCGTAGTGCACCTCATACCGACCTCACAGTCCCATCCCACCTTCTATGGGAAACATCTCCCATGAATAACAACATAAAGTATGGGAGATGTTCCCAATTAGACCCGTTGTGAGATTGGTGCGAGGAGCAGATCCGGACTAGAAATAATAACGAGTTTTATTAGTAATGTCTAACACCACACATGACACATCCTCTTCGAAAATTTTAAGACTGAAAACTGGTTCACTGATTAAAAAAAAGGCTGATTTTTAGAATGCAACAAGCATCCGGACTTGAATTCTAGGGGAAAGAAAAAGTAAAACAAGTAATAAGCTCGAATTTATGGAACTAGCGACTTGCAACAATACCACCATCCTTCTTAAAATTTCATGAAAAAGAGATTATAAACAACCGTATACTAGACCGATTGTACGATTGCATGTAGGGCAGCAAATTAAGTGGCTGCCAAGTTTCAGTTACATCAACAACAGAGAGATGCGCTTCAGCTGCTAGTCTGAGAAAACAAGTAAACGTATCTACATTGCGTATAACAGTGGCTAGGTAAGCCACTGGGTGTTTTGTTGTATTGGGTTGAGATTTGGTATTAGGGACATGATTATGAGCTGCTGCTACTTGAGTATCAAATCCCTGGCAATTATCACAATCAGCTGCAACAGATTTACCTGCACAAAACTCACTGTGATCTTTACAATAGTCTCCGTTACCAGTGATATGACCCTTTTCAGATGATAAACACAGGCAATTGTCTCTCTCTTCATGAGGGTTGGATTTACTTGGGTTCAATAGAATGGAAAGCACTCGAATAAGGTGTGGCAGGCATATTGGATCATAAATTACATCTGCACCAAGCCTGTCAAAAGAGAAGTGACAACATGAGACTTCGATGTTAATTGACAAAAGCTGAAATGCAGGAAACTTATCAGTAGCCTCCACCTCTATCGGAAGAATGATTCTAATAAACTTACACATCTAGGATATAAATCCATTCAACCAAGCAATTACATTTGGCCAAATACCTAGAAAAATTATAGCCCAACTGGATAAATTTTTGGGTTATGGATCAGCTAAACTGGGACTACCAATCAAACTCAAAGGCCCTTGCATATGCACAGTTTTTATGTCCAAGACCTCTAATATCATAATGTTTTGGTGATCTCCTCATCATCATCAATTTTCAAAAAAAAAAAAAAAAAGATCTCATCATCAGAAATGAGACTATGTACTCACACTATGTCCGGCATGAAATCTTGTAGTTCTCTTTCTGTTGAAGATTCCCATGGCAGATGTTTGCACTCCACCTGAAACTTAAAACTTAATCAATATTGGACATTGGARACTCTTACACAGCCATCAAAACATTTCTACATCTCTATTGACACGCATTATCTCATGAAAATACCATAAATATGATACTAGCCTGTTGCATTTGAACCAAGTTGATATATATATATATACACTCCAATGAAGTTAATACACACACAACAGCACAATCCCTCATTCATCCCTGTTACTATTCATATCCACTACCTAGGATTGAACCCATTAGTTCATGGTGGAGCAACATAAAAATGACGACTGTCCTTACCCAACTTATGAAGTTCTGATATTGGCTTTGACGCATCTCCTTCTCTGTACTCAATTGATAAAATTCTAAATTAAGCTTCATGTTTGCTAAACTTGACAGGTCACCATCACTTAGTATCACCTGCAACAGTGCTATCCATATTAAAACATCTTACTAGGCATAAAACATTTGGAATCTACCACAAGTTAAGTACGTCATGAATGCCATGAATCTAAATCTAATAATGTCAATAAATTTTGATATATACTGTTTAAACAATGTAATGCTTGGGCATCATCAACATCATAAATGAGCCCATCGCCCATATATCTACAATAAATGCAATGAATACACCCATCCAGATTTGCCACTTCACTGGATATGGCACATATACCCGTTGGATACCTTTCCCTTCCAAAATCAATTGACTACTTTTGCACATTCAACAAACAAGGCCAATAGTCCAGACAGCACCATACCATTTGGATGATGAGGAAATTAGGAAACTCAATTGATCTGGTATTTGTGCAACACAAGATCAAAGATAATGAGCATGTGTATACCATGTATACAGAAAGGAGATGATAGACTTAGTTTGGTACCATTAATATGATAATTGCTAGGTCAGTATACCAGTCAAAGCTAACATAATACATTAATACTTCTTAGTATTTAAAGCGAAGAGTTAACACTGTAAATTAAGAAAAACTTTGATTTGTTAACTTCATCAGAGACACAATCTTCAAGTAACATACCTTGGAGGCTTTTGCATGGGTGAGAGCAATACCAACTAAACCAACACCTGAACCTACCTGTTTGGAAAATACAACACTTGACAACAATCATATATAAAACCCCCATGTTTGGGAACCCAAAACTGTCTAGAAGAGAAATAATAACTATTCTAAAAGGGGAGAACTGAAAGGAAAAATAAACAATCTCATCAAGTCAAAGAAGAATTGAGAGAAGCAATAAAACATTCTCAGTTTGATAACAAGGAATAGCTTTGAGGCCTAAAAGTAATGAATTTTTAAAAAGAGTATTCATTTACATCAACATTTGCAATTTCATTTAGTAAAAAATGAAAAGAGGTAGTGATATTTGTATTACCTCAAAACAAGATTTACTAGAGAATATTTCTGGGTAAGAAAGTATAAACTCTGACAGGAAAAGACTTGACGGCCAAATGGCACACCTGTACAAATCAAGCGACCATGACAAAGGCAACATTAGCAAGATTTTAGTCAAGAACAAATTAATCAATGTGCAAGATGTAAAATAGATGAATCAAACATATAAGCAGTTTTCACAAGATAAAAATTTTGCAAATATCTAAGAGCCTTCACAAGGAATTGCCTTTGCGTTTATAACACTTTTAAAGGAAAAAGTACATATACTAGCAGGATTTTGTTAATTTTTTTCTGGCGATAAGTGATCAACAAAAACTTCATTTTATATTCAGACAAGAGTTATGTAATTTTAAGATCAAATCTTACACATTAGTGATCATTGCAACCAAACTATGACAAGGTGGATTGCAGAAGGATTTTGCATAGGCTACAACCCTTGCTTGCAGCACAGGCTCCTAGATGACATCAATAGGAATGCAGAAGACCCACAACCATTGAAAGAAAAACCTTATGGTTTGATAAAACCCAATTTTAGGGTTTATTTTTAAATTAAAAACTGATGATGTTTAGACTAGAGTTGTAAGATTTTTTATCCTATTTATGGTGAAAAATTCAATAAACTATAGAATTTTTTTTCGGTCTCCTTTGAATTCATGAGACTACTGTAAATGGAATGGGACCTAAAGATTTCAATTAGTTAGTATTCCAGACAACTGTAAATGGGATGGTTTGACATTTTTTGGTGGAGTAAAATTTTCAGTAATATTTTCTTCATCCTAATTGCATGCATAAGAAGGGGTTTTTCTCTCTTCCACCAATGATAGAAGTTAATGTGTGAGATTCTCCTAATGACATTTATACTGTCTCAGACTTTAGAATGGTTGCTTGATTGGTTTCTGTCCTAGTGCCAGTGTTGTACACAGTAATCAGAATCTGATGTGTGTCCAGGAGTCTGACTCAGCAAGGCGACAAGACAAAAAACAAGGACTCACAGACACATCTATAGAGAAGTATAAACTATTAATTATTAAAATGGTCCGTATTTTTTTTATTCTAGTATTTTACACCCATGGCAAAAGGTTTAGAAGTTTAACTTTGTTACTTAGGCTCAGTTTTGGAAGAGTGCAAATACAAATATGTTCCGTGCAAAACCTTGTATATCGTATTTATAAACCTTATATTTGTATTCTTCCCAAACTGAGACTTAAGAACATTTTATGGGAAAAATAGCATTTACTGCATACATTAGCAGTTCATTTATGTTAAATAAACAAGAAGACATGGGAAGTGTCAGTATCTGATGCATGTCCAACAAGGACACTTCATCCAACTGGAGAGCTATACAACACTGCCCGGTGCATATGAAGTTGGTCTCTGGGGCTCCATGAAACTTGGTACTACTGTTATGTTTGATCACAAATCTCCTTGTGAAGTTCTGATTTGGTGACAATGTCCATAGGGAACAAATCCAGTGATGTCAAGATATGGGAGGGATCTTCAAGGATTGGATCTACCCTTACCTCCTCAATGGATAACCCAAGCTTTCAGATTAGAACTCTTAAGTTACATAGTATGAACCCAAGCTTTCAGATTAGAACTCTTAAGTTACATAGTATGAACCCAAGCTTTCTTTCTTTCTTTCTTTTTGTGTGCGTGTGTGTCTGTGTTTTGAAAGTAATGATCAAATTTCATTAAGCGAAAATAGAAATAATTGGTTAAGTTTTTTCACCACCAAAGATCAAAATGAAGAACATATAAAAGCACTCTCCAAAACAAAAGAAAAGGTTACAAAAGGTCCAAGTTGCCTACAAATTATCCCCAAAATCCTACCTCTTAGCCTCCTTGGAAACAGGGTGTGCAAGCAACCAGTCCATGATCCATTTTCCAATATCAGCAATAAGCTTGTATTTTGGGCATATTTTGCCTTCAAGTATATGTTGTTCCTATCCTTCCAAAGATAACTTGCTTTCCCATCTTGTGTATATAGTAAGGGGGTTCCACTTTCCCATTGAAAAGTGAGAGCGGAAAAACATTGACATCATGTCCTGGTTACTCAATTAGATGCAACATCAAATAAGTTGTATCATCTTGTTCTTTGATGCAGCAACAAGTGTGAGTGAGACGAAATCATAAAAACATACTCCCAACAGAAGAATGTGACAAGAACTTATCAGCCTTTCCAGTTTTCATCAAGCGGAAAAACATTGACATCATGTCCTGGTTACTCAATTAGATGCAACATCAAATAAGTTGTACCATCTTGTTCTTTGATGCAGCAACAAGTGTGAGTGAGACGAAATCATAAAGACATACTCCCAACAGAAGAATGTGACAAGAACTTATCAGCCTTTCCAGTTTTCATCAAGCGGAAAAACATTGACATCATGTCCTGGTAACTCAATTAGATGCAACATCAAATAAGTTGTACCATCTTGTTCTTTGATGCAGCAACAAGTGTGAGTGAGACGAAATCATAAAGTCATACTCCCAACAGAAGAATGTGACAAGAACTTATCAGCCTTGCCAAGAGATTTCCAGTTTTCATCAAGGGGAGATACAAAAGAATAGCCTTTTAAAATCCAATAATTAAACAATTTTTAGCACCTGAATTTTGAGATCAAAAAATATCAGGAAACTTGATTATTTCCTAGGCATCAAATTCGCAAGGTCAAAAAAAAGGTATCTTTATTTCCCAAAGAAAGTATTCTTAGAATTATTGAAAAAGAAACAAAGTACAAAGAACCCCCACCAGTCTATGCAAAGAGTAGCAAAAATACAGTATGCCTAATACAGCTTACCCCCAATACAGTATATGAAAAACCCATGGAACATCCAAGAAGGATTCATCATTATCATCATCATCCAAGCCTTAGCCCAACTATACAGGATCGGTTACATGAATCCTGTTTCACCATTTTGTTATGTTTAATGTCATATCCATCATTCCATTGTTAAGTTATGAGCACTTAAATTATTTCTTACTAATTCAACCCCATGTCCTTTTTGACCTACCCCTAGCCTTTCTAGCCCCTTCAACTTCAACAGATCACTTCTTACAAGTTTTGACGATGGTCTTCTATGCACGTGGCCAAATCATCTTAGAAAGATTGATCCCAATAAATTCTCCCTCCTCGAGTCTGAGCTCTTCAATCCAAGGGCTGTGATAGAGAATTTCACAATCATTGGACTCAACAGAACAAAATTTTCACTCTTGAATCCAAAGATTTAGCTTCCCTAGTAAAGTGATAAGAGTCCAAAGACCCTCACTATTCTTACACATCCACCTGATTGCCACCAGTTGAGAATCTGCCCCCACTTCTAGCCTGGTGAGTGGTGATGCCAAAAGTGAACATTAATCACAACCCTGAAGCAAAGGCATGACCTCAAGTTCCCAACTAGAACAGTCCCCTGATACCCATGAATCCACTAGTAATATTTCCTCATGAAAACAATGGCTGATGATGAAATTGCTTACAAGGACTTCTTTGTGCCCAATACATAGTTAGATCTTATGACATACTAGTCAGTAAATAAAACAATGATTAGGAAAACAACAAAATAAATCAAATGGAAAATTTGAAGTATACCCAGTATCTCCTTCCAGCATGTTGAGTGAACATAGCAATGGAACTACAATTTTCATTGATCTTGGACAACTTAATAATTCGGAGGAACCTATATTAAGTGAAGTGCAAAACAACATTGCACATATATGTAAGTAAACTTTGAAGCAAAGATAATGTTAACTGCCAAAAGTAGATGACGTGAACAGAAATGCTTACCATCAGGAAATAGAAAAGAGATGGTCTTGCAGACCTTGGTATTGACCTTCAACGAACCATCATCCTTTCGGAAGGAAGGGGGAAAACCACATCGAACAAGCATTAATCCAATGAAAAGTTGCTTCCAACATAAGAAAATAAATCTTGTAAAAGCATTTAAGGCATCATAAAATAGAATTGTGTACAACATAATTTCTTCCGAATGTAACGTAACGATTTTGGGAATTTAACGACTGATAACCACTAATCCACTACTAACCTTTAATGATGTCATATAGCATGCATACTGTTCGTATAACTCATCCAACGCATTATCTGAATTTGACTCCACATCAACGATAACCCTCTTCAGAAAGTTCTTTATGTATGAATCGCTCGGATGATTCCTGCTCCCCTGCATGTAGTAAATTTAATCGTTTGATGCCATACATGATTACAAATAATGAAAATGAGCTTTCGGGCAATTTGCAGAAATAGACACATGAGACTTGACTTACAGCATTACTAATGCACTGCTCCCAAATGAAACTCTGAACTTCCTGGGAAATCGACCCTCCACCACATTCTCTGGTGAAGAAAAGATTTACAGAGGCAACTTTAAGTTGAATATAATCTTCCCTATTACGTATTAAAATTAGCTAGAGAAGTGGAATTATATCGAAATACTCTGCAAGAAGTAAAAAATAAGATGAAGAAGAAGAAGAAGAAGAAATACCGGGCCAAGGAGATTAAGCAATCGATAGGCTCCATAGCGACGAAAGCTGAGAATAAATGGAGACAAGCAGGATTCGAAGGCTCGAGTCCTTGACCTTGGTGTTCCTCCATTATTCCTTGTTTGAAAATCGAGGCCGGTATGAACTGTCTAGGTTTAGTTTGCGCGTTGCGAACTTGCGAAATTGTGTGAAAGAGGGAAGTGCTACACACGGTATCCGACTGTCCGAATTCGAATTCGACCCCATCTAGGCAATAAGGCTATGTTTGGATTAAAGGAAAAGGTAGAGAAAGGAAGAAAAACATAAGGAAAATCTATACAAAGTTTGTAAAGATTTCTTTACATTTTCCTTCAATCCAAACACAGCCTAAGGGTGATCCTAATTCCATCCATTTATAATTTGGATCAAATATGGATCACCCCTACCTGATCTATATAATCCAATTCGATTTAAATATAGATATGTTCATATCTACTTTGAATTTATATTRTATCTGATGAGGGGTGATTTGGCTTGACCTAGTAACTAAAGGACACATGGACATTACTTGTCAGCAGGATGACAACTCAGTAAGGAGAGCTTTGTCAGCAGTTTGGGAGTCCGGGTGTTCGAGCACTTTGGCACCTGAGTATCGAAGTGACACGTAATTGATTCCAGAAGCTTCTCAACGGACTCTGAATCTCCCGAGATCACATCGTGTAACAACAGGCCTTATCCTCTCCCCGCCCGGATCAGAAAGTAACAATAGGCTTTATTAACTGGTATGTTACTCTCCTTTTAAAGCGGAACGAATCTCATCTATGCGGGCCGAGGATTTCGGAGCCATTTCGTGAGACCCACGGCAGCTCAACTATATAAGGGCACCAGCCCCCAAGACCCAGGTACGCGCAATTAAGTGCATTCTAACTCTCATATTTCTCAAACTCTCAACTCGCGTATTACTATTACTAACTTAAGCATTAGAGCGACCCTACCGGGTTAGACACCTCGGGTTATTTGATTCCTCATTTTCTTTGCAATTCGAGTGACTTACTTGGCGACAGACATTCGAACTGCCCTACAGATAGGAGTATTCAAATCGCGCACCATTAATATCCAATAGTAAAGTTGTTTGAACGTTGTGTTATTGCTAAATTAATTGTTATAGGTGCGAATTTTCAATTCATTTTGTACATGAAATATATTATTAGTCATTTTTAATTCATTTTATTTAGTAATATAAAATATCTTGATTATTTTTAATTTAATTTATTTATACTATTTAATATCTGATTGCAATTATAATTTGATTCGAATCGAATGTAAATAAATCAAAATTGAACCAACCACTATTATATTTAGTTTGATCTATTTCTCCGCCCTATAGAGGTTCCAGGTGGAGGCTTCCAATTAGGGCTATAAATCCAAAATTAAGGGGTGCAATTTTGGCGGGCTCAGGTTGGAGAATTGTTAAAACCTCAATGGGTCTGTCTTGAGCAGTCCGGATGAGGTGGAGATAGAATTATACATGCCCGACTGAACTACCTATCATGGTTGAACACACGCTCAGTTGTATGTCCAATCGTGATAGGTAATTCAACCGGGTGTGTATGTTTTTGTTTCGAGCTAATCCGCCTCATGCTTGAGAGCCTGGCGTGTAAATTCAAATTATATATATATATATATATATAATATTATTAATATTTAAAATTTTAAAAATAGTTTTATATAGTTACTATAAAATACCACTATATATTGGACAATTTTAAATTTCTATTTTATCTTAGTGATTAATGATGATGGTTAAGTGCTAAACCAATTTCTTTCTTTTACACTGCATTTGGTTTGAAGGAAAAAGTAGGGAAGGGAAACCTTTACAAACCTTGTATAATTTTCCCTATCTTTCTCTTATTTTCCCTACCTTTTCCTTCAAACTAAACATAGCCTTAGGTAAATACTTTTCTTAAAGTAAACTTTTAATTAAAAAAATAAAATAATTCAATGATTCAGGTCGTGGCGGGAACCCATCCCCATTGAGTATGGAGGTTCATTTTTCTCCCCATCGAGAATTAGGGACGGGGGTGGGGAGTGTGGTCCTTGCCCTACTTCCATTCCTAAACTATGCCATGTTAAGAATTAAGATATTAAATTAATGAGAAATTAGATGTGCAATAACAGTAAAAAATTAATAAGTAATAATATATAACACCAATACATGAAGTTTGTCACAATAAAATATTAGTAAGATAAGTTAGGAAAATTAACATAAGTATTAATAAACAATGCTAACATAAATTAATAATTATTAATAAGTATATGTGTATAATATTTCACTAGATGTTTTAAAATAACCATTTAATTTGAAACTATTATATGTATAGTGCATGTCCATTTAAAATAAATAAAATATAATAAAAATAGTAAAAATAAAAACGATTTTATCTAACAAAAAATAATAGAAATTAATAAAAACAAAATTTATTTGAATTCAATTTAGAATGATAAAAAATTAACAACAATTTTATATAGTCATAATGAAAATTATTGAACATTATTAGGGAAATTAATAAAAAGTAATACAAGTTTATCTAACAATACATAACCCAAAAAATAATGCTTGGGTTGGAATTAGTCTGGCTTTGCCTAATTGAACATGTCATAATGCTACTTAAACTGGATTTTGTTTAACAAAGCCCATACATTACATGAGACCTCCGATTTGTGCTCAACATAAAGTGAATAACCCGTGCAGATAATTTGGTATATTTCGAGTTGAAATGGGCTCCCCACAATGCATCCCCTCCCATGCATTGATAATATCATCCCATTACAAGTATGGGAGATGTTAGGGTGTACTATTGGGCACGTTTGGGGAGCCCATTTAAATTAATAATTCCAATATGATATCAGAAAATGCAATCCCCCTTGTTCATGAATTTGCATTGGCTCCCCATAAGCATGCCCCATGGCTAGAGTTGTTCATAAGTTGGTCCAAACTGGTTTTAGGTTAGGCTTTGCCTCTTTATTAACATAATATGTTTAGGCCCAAATCTGACCCGGCCCTCATATAAAGCTCAGCTCGAAGCCCAGCCTGGAAATTGGGCAAGAAGATATTTTAGTTTTTAATCAATAATAAAAGTGATTTATTTATATCAAACGACCTTAGAATCCAAAAATACTGAAAAATCTCACCTATAACTTGAGAAAAGAGGAGAAAAACAAAGAAAAATATATTATAAATTTATTGTATATAAAATACTATTAGACCAGGCTTAGGTCAGGCTTTTTTGGGAAAGCTCGAGTCCAGACAAAAGAAAAAGACAGACATTATGTTTTGGGCCCGATCTTGAATCCACGAGCCTAAATCATGTTCAAACCAGACAAAGGATGGGCTAAACTGGGATAACCCATTGGATTACCTGACCCATGAACAGATTTACCTAGAAGACATTCCAACTGTGCATTGGGAATATCTCCCGGCCATGCATTAATTAGTATATTCCACGTTAACACAAGATTTCAACAAATCATGTTAAAAAAATTGCAAGATTTATTTATTTTTGTTGATTCATGTTTTAAAAAATGTATTTACTATCAATTTTTTTAAGAACGTGAAAAAATGTAGTGAGATTTAAGTATTTATAAAAAAATGTAGGGAGATTTAAGTAATTTTCGGTTCGGGTGATGCTGATGCGTACACAGAGAGAAGGTAGTAAGCACAAACAAGAGGCCCAAATTCATGCGAGCTGTCACCACATCATCATGTGGCCCGAATTCAAAACACATCGAGGTTTGTATTCGTAACCCAAAAGATGTACAGTGCTTATTGTTGATTCGTTGACAACGTATAAGTTGTGTTCATATTATTATAATTACTAGTGGAATGGCCAGCACGGGGTATCTGATATTAATGATAATATTTGACTATGCTTTTATATATTTTGGGTATAGATTTGTAATTTATGTTATTTTCTAAAATTTTTATGATTTTTATTTTTTTTACATTATAAATTTTCTATGTATTTCTTTATTTTTTATAATTTATATTAATTTCTTCATTTTACGTATTTTTTCATAATTATTTTGCAATAACATATATATAATGGGAAAAATAGAAAGTTGAGGGTAAAGTTGGAAAGTAAAATTAGTGTTTTGACCAAACCAATTGCACCATTCTCATTTTTCAGTATGATATATAAGTTTCTATGATTTTCTACATTTTTTTTTGTAAATTTTCAATACATTTCTTTGTTTTTTTGTAATTTATATTGTTTTCTTCATTTTATATTTTTTATAATTATTTTGTAGTGACAATATATATAATGGAAAAAATAGAAAGTTGAGGGTAAAGTTGAAAAGTGAAATCAGGGTGTTTTGGCTAAAYCAATTGCAACATTTTCATTTTTTAGTATATAAGATTTATTAGAAACGTTAATTGTCCTCACTTAATAGATTCTAACTTCACACTTGAAGAATAATGATAAGGGGGTATAGGGTTGAGCTCTCTCCGCGTATGAGAGCAACCCATTTCCTATTAATTATATAAATATTATTACACTATTAGATATATATATATATATATATATATATATAATTATCTAATTATATAAATATATAATAGTTATTATAAATATTACTAATAACTAGATATCTAACCATTCAAGCGGTTTTAATCATTTTTTATTTTTTATTTTTATTTTTTGTCAAAATGGTCGGACAGTTTGACCTGATAACCGGACCCTTGACTGGTTCGGTCTTCAGGTCGGTTTTAAAAACCATGATGATATATCATTCGAGCGTGTGACTCATACGGCCCGAAAATGGAATCATTTTAGCCATCGGTTTTCGGATTGACAATTTGACCGTCTGGTTCGAACGGATGACCCGTTTTGACAACAAAAACTAAAAATAAAATAAAAAACCAACCAAAAACCATTGAGCGGGTCAATGGGTTGACGATTCGACCACTCAGGTCAATGGGTCATTGACCGATTCAACGATTTTTTGCCAGGGATTAGGATTGGAGTAAAACGAAACTGGTTGCCTAGACGATTCGCAATTAAAAAAAAAAAAAAAACGGACGACCCATTCTGACAACAAAAATTACAGGCAAAAAAGTAAGTGTGTGAGATCCATTAAGCAGTACCATACGTGTTATGCCATTCAAGCGTGTGACTCATACGACCTGAAAATGGAACCGTTCTGGTCATTGGTTTTTGGGTCGACGGTTCGACTACTTGGTTCGAACAAATGTCCCGTTCTGACAACAAAAATAAAAAAAAAAGACCAAAAACCATTGAACGAGTCAATGGTTCAACCACCTAAGTAAATGGAATCTGCTCGTGCAAGTAGATTCCCACGTGAGAGCAACCCATTTCCTATTAATTATATAAACATTGTTATATAAATATATAATAGTTATTATATATAATTATAAATATTGTTATCATAATTATCTAATTATTGTTTATATAACTATCTAATTATATAAAATATATAATAGTTATTATAAATATTGTTAATAACTAGACATCGAACCGTTCAAACAGTTTTGACTTTTTTTTTTAATTTTTTGTTAAAATGGGCCAGCTGTTCGACTTGGTAACCGGACCCCTGACCAGTTCGGTCTCTAGGTCGGTTTTAAAAACCATGATGTTATGTCATTCAAGCGTGTGACTCATACGACTCGAAAATAGAACCGTTTTGGCCACCCATTTTTTGATCAACGGTTCGATTGTCTGGTTCGAACAAATGGCCCATTTTGACAACAAAAATATAAAAAAAAACAGCCAAAAACCATTGAATGGGTCAACGGGTTGACAGGTCAACCACTTGGGTCAATGAGTTGTTAACCGATTCAACGGTTTTTGGTCAGGGACCAGGATTGGGGTAAAACGAAACTGGTTGCCAGGAAAGTTCTCAATTAAAAAAAAAAAAAAACAGATGACCCATTTTGACAACAAAATTTACATGCAAAAAATTGAGTGTGTGAAGTTTATTAAGCAGTACCAAACGTGTTATGTCATTCGACTGTGTGACCCATACAACCTGAAAACGGAATCGTTTTGGCCACTAGTTTTTGGGTCGACGGTTCGAACAGATGGCCCATTATGACAACAAAAATAAAAAAATAAATAAAAAACGACCAAAAACCATTGAACAGGTCAATGGTTCGATTGCCCGAATCAATGGATCGTTGGTCGATTCAATGATTTTTGGCAGGGATCAAGATTAGGATAAAACGGAACTGGTTACCTATATGATTCCCAATTAAAAAATTAAAAATGGCCAAAAACCATTATATGGATCAACGGATCAATGGTTCAACCGCTCAGATCAATGAATCATTAACTGATTCAATGATTTTTGGCCAAAAATCAGATCAACGATTCCATTTTAGCCCCTGCAAAGCAGGCCCCTCTGCTAGTTGTAATTATTATTATTATAAAATGAAAAATAAGCAATTACAGATAATGTAAAAAAATAAAAAATAAAATAATAGATAGAATTGCAGAAAATACAATAAGATAATGTAATTTAACATTCTTAATTTTATAATTTCGATATTTTTCTTCTCTGGTTCATTGAAGCTCAAATGAACATTTTAGTAATTTCAGCTTTGCCATCAAGACAACAAAATCATTGTTACCATATGGGTGCTCGCTCCGTTTAGCTCGTGCGAGTAAATCATCGTGTGAAGTATTGTAACTTACAAACTTGTAACCGATATACAATTTGGGGAAGAAGTAAATTCGTGGTTAACACGTGGCACCACTCATTAGAAACCCTTTCACGTGCCCATTCTTCTTCGTTGCATGATACGAGTTACGACACTTCTCCAAGCATCTCTGTCTCCTTCGTTCTATCAAACCACTTCCCTTGTCTTACTTTCCGTCTCTTTTTCCTTCTCTCCTTTTTTTTCTTTGAACCACTTTTTCTTTCCACTTTTTTTTTTCTTTTCTACTTCTTTTCTGGTTTCATCGTTTTCCTCACTTTTGTTTCTCTTCCCACTCTCACTCCGTGTCTTCTTATTGTTTTTGTTATGGGTTTGAGATAGGATCTTGTCACAGGTCAGTCTACGAGGAAAACCCCTGTTTCTTCTTGTTCTTCARTTTTTTTGAAGAATTTATCTTGCCATCCTAAAAGGTGATTTATTCAAGAGATCACCAATTCTCTTTTGTTCTTTTTCTTGACTGAAATTTTCGATATCTTCATATTCAATAACGATGTCTCCTTAAATAGGAGGTTAGAAGAGTCATAATCTTAAGAAATCCCCTTGCTGAATAAGGAGACTTCAAATTTTATCWTGTTAAAAATAAGATAAATTAATCCTAATTTAATAATAAATTAATTTGATAAACAATAGAATAAGATAAAAACAAGCAACATCTAATGTGGGTTGTGGAGAGAGTTATTGTGCTTCTATCTCGTCAAGGTTTTTTGAGTTGCAGAGGGGGTTTTGGGGCTTCCATCTGCTGCTGGGGTGTTGCCGGAGAGGGTTTTCGAGGGTTGGGTGTTGCGGAATGCGAAGAGGGTTTTTGGGGTTCCATTTGCTACTGGGGTGTTGCGGAGAGGGTTTTTGGGCTTCCGGCTGCTACTGTAGTTTTTGTTCACTGGTTGTTTGCCTACTTCGAAGGTTTTTTTGTTCACCGGTTGCTGGAGAAGGGGACTCTTCATGCATTGGCTGTTGTGGGTCTCTGCCATCTACTCTTTGTCCCTAACGTGCAATGCAATGCTCTGACCCCATACTCACCATTCTTCTCAATCATCTTCGCCTCTCTCAAAAACCCYGAGCTTCGATCAGTGAGTAGGGGGTGAGAGCGAAGTGGTAAAAACAAAATGAATGGGTGGCTACTATCATGGTTCTGGTGAGTGGTGGCTCTGCTTCTGCCATTCCTCCTTACTTTTGCCAGCTAAGGTATGGGTGGGCATTGTGGTTCTGGTGAGTGGTTTCGATCYCATGTGAGATCGTGGGTCTCTACCATTCTTCTGCTACTTTCTAATTATCTTATTAGTGCAACTCGAGTTGCTCAGTCTCGKCTCGATCATCAATCCCTTGACTTAGCCCAGTCAATCGATTTTTAATTTGATTTACTTAATTTATTGATTCCCCAGTGAACCGATGGATTTCTGTTGTTAAGTATTCATAAGCCCTTGAAACCAACCAACTATCCTTGTTTTTTGGTTCAGACGCCTTGACAACGACCTCCAAACTGCAACCCAGCAGTACTGTATAACATGGACCTCATTGATCGTCATTTACAAATTGTTTATTTGTTCACTTTTTTGAATTTATTTTGTAATATCTGAATTTAGTATATTCTTCTACAATTGCTATAATTATGTATGTTCTTTCCGCACTTGCTGTAATTATGTATGTTCTTGTAGACTTCTTTTAGATGGATCAATGGTGCGTTGAGCTAATTAAAAAGATTTTCCTGCATTTTACATGCTGTTTTCTTGTTAATTTTTAAGTCTTCTTGTTTTAATTAGGTGTATTCTTCCACTCTCGTCGTAATGAGTCATTGCAACTTTAAAGTGCAATTATTACTGCTGTTTAGTTTTCCTTTTTAGGGTTAATACTTGGTTCTTTAATTTTTTCATTTCCTTGATTAGTCATTCCAACTTTATGTGATTAATCATGACCATCTTCATCAAGCAGGGAAATTTTCCAGATAGTGATAATTAAGCTCACCCTGTATGTAATCTTGTTGGGACTGATGTTTTGCCCAATGACGACGACATGGTATGGTAATTGTCTGAGAATTTCCAGTGAAAAGAGAATAGCCAAATGAAAATCAATGGACCTTTTGAGTCCTTTCCTCCCAAATGAAATAAAATTACCTATAGATTTTTTCAAAGAAATAAGAATTGGGAAAGTTGTTTCTTAGTTGTGAGAATCTATAGTTTTTTATCAAATGTCATTTCTTTCTTTTATCTTTCCTTTAACAAAAAAGCAAGAACTCCACAAATTTCCTTTATTTTTCTATAATCTTTTCCCTTATAAGTTGTTTTAATAATTTATTTTCCCTTATTGAACAGGTTTTGGTTTTTATTGATCTTGTCCATTGAAGAGCATGTCTGCTATACAAAGCGATTCAAATAGCTCACCATGTTTTTGTAAAGAACGAGTTTTGTTTTTGTTTTAATTTTGTAAGAAGCATATGGGTCGAAACCTTACAACTTAATGTTTCTCTCTTTAAATTCATATGGGCATTGCTTATTACGCCATTTCCAAATATTTAATTAATTTCTTTCAAAAACGTATTTTTGCAATCCACAATTAATTGCTCACTATTTGTAATTTAATTTACTGTGACAATATAATTTTAAGATTTATTTTTCTACACTCATTAGCCCCTGCCACCCCGCAGTTGCACTGAAAATCGGAGTTCGGGTCCCCATCATGCTCTTGCGACCTTTCTTATAAGGTAGTTGCTCACTTTTTCAGTACATGCGGCGGCTACTTGCAAGGAGAAGAGCAGAGACTCACAGTCGTGTTACTTACAGTACTGGACATGGTTCTGGGGATCTCTCTTCCGTTGCTAGCTTCAGCTTTCTTCTTGTTTTCGCCCCTCGGATTGGCTATTGATTTCAAATATCCGGCTGTGTTCAACTTTGGAGATTCCAACTCCGACACGGGTGGGCTTATTGCAGCAGGGATCGGGAACCCTCTTAACCCACCTAACGGACAGACCTACTTCCTCAASCCGTCTGGTCGATTCTGCGATGGCCGCCTCATCATTGATTTCCTAAGTAATTTCTCTCCAACTGTATTGCAGGTTTTGTACTAGTCTAAATCTAAACAGTGTGTAATACATTGGATTATGGCCTTTTTTTGGGGGAATTATCTATTCGTTTTACGCAAATGAAATCACTAATAGCTTTCATACATTCACTTGTAATTTATGATCATACATGGCAAACCTTCCTACTGTTTTCCCTGCAAAAACATAAAATAGTTCAATCTACTTTAACTGTTTATTATTGCTTTGTATTTTGAATTTTTGATGTAGTGGATGCAATGAACCTACCGTCTCTAAATGCCTACTTGGACTCTGTCGGAGCACCATCTTTCAGGAGGGGCTGTAATTTTGCAGCTGCGGGCTCTACTATACTCCCACAAACAGTAACGTCGGCTATCAGTCCATTTTCATTTGAGGTTCAGGTGACTCAATTCCTTCAATTCAAAGCTCGTGTTCTTGACTTGCTGTCTAAAGGTATGATTTGTTTACTTGGTTTTCTTAATATGGTTTTTTGGAGTTGTCTGGTTGCTGCTGATAACCAGAACAATGATCTCCTTCACAAACATGGTTAAGCCTCTCTCTCAGAAAGGGGTTAAATAAGTTTTAATTCAAGTAAAAAATGCATATATAATGATGTGGGTACCAAGCTACCAATCTAGATCATAAAATGTGATGTTTCTTTTAGTTCAGATTAGCAATATAGCTCATATCCTTTAAATTACAAATCAACTCTAATGTAGTTTCTTAAGTCAAATAAAAAACCCAGGTCAAAGATTTTATGACCTGGCACATGGATAGTAGGTCCCACTCAAAATAACTTGCAATAATGTGGGTCCCATTTTACATTTAAAGCATGTTTTTAAATCATAAATTGAACTTAGCTTAGTTTCTCTAGTCAAAATGTCAAATAAAAAATCCCAAAATGAAACACACATATAGTTGCCCTGTCCTAAAAACACAGAAAAAAGCAATCAAATCTATCATTTATATCAAACATTGATACTTCTATGGACCAAAAAAAACTTGGTAAATACTTGTATAATAACTACGATATGAAAGCTGTACAGTATGCTTAGAGATGACTTCTATGGTAAATAATAAAAGAATCCAGCTTTTGAAGAAGTTAAGAATGGAATATCATTCTGTTTCGCCCCAGTGAAATAATGATGCTAGTATCAGACATCTCCAAGAGAAAATACACTCCAAATATACTGGAATATTTAAAACTTTACAATAATGAAATCTATTCGACACCATGCATCTGCTCTTGAATCTCGCACTTGAGTTTTGCTACAACTATAAAAGTTCATTGACAGTCACATTCTTGAATTGATTGTAGGCAAGGAGCTAAACAAATACCTTCCCCAGAAAAAATATTTCGATCAGGGGCTTTACATGTTTGACATAGGCCAGAACGATCTTAATAGGGAATTTTATTCTAAGACTGAGGATCAAGTCATTGCTTCAATTCCAACCATTTTGTCGGAGTTTGAAGCTGGAATTATGGTAAGGTGAACTTTTCCTTAATGTATAAAGCCTTATCCCTTCATTTCAAATAAAATTTGTCCCCAAATTTCTCAATCCATATTAATGTAGTTATATGATCAAGTAATTGAATGCAAAGTTTCCGAATGTGCTCTCACTTTTTGTTCTTCTTTCAGAGGTTATATGACCAAGGGGCAAGGAGGTTTTGGATTCATAATACCGGTCCTCTAGGATGTGTAGCTCGAAATGTTGCCATATTTGGAAAAGATCCATCTGAGCTTGATGGGCTAGGATGTGTTAGCTCTCTTAATCATGCTGCTAATCTTTTCAATTTGCAGCTTCATGCTCTCTGTAAAAAACTACAGGGTCAATTTCCAGATACAAATGTCATTTATGTTGATATTTACTCAATAAAGGCCAACCTTATCGCCAATCATTCTCAATACGGTAAGTACAGTATCATTTATAAATCTGTGTTTCACACTCACACAACATGCACATATTTATGATTATTGGTTTCTCTGTTAAGACAATGATTGTGTACTTGCCTGGATTGTCAAATGGCTTTTTGAGTTGTTTCAGAAATGAGCTTCTTTTTGTATAAGGAGGGTTATCTACCAGCAAGAATGTTGAGCTTGCCTTCACCCTAATTCAGTAAATTAAAAGAGATTCAAATGTTGTGATGGTCTAGGACTCTAGCAGTTTTTTTCTTTAATATTAACACATACAATCTCCTGCTAGATATTTTGCTTCTTCAAGGAAATTGGGCCCTGAGAATTCTCAATCAAATATTGGTAATACTGCTAGAAAGTTGAGAAAGTGACAACTTTTGTAAAAGAGCTAGGGGTCAACTGGTCAAGTCTCGAGCTCAATTATTCTTTTTATCAGTAATGTTCCAAAATTAGAGACCTTTGATCGTGTAAAATTGACAATTTTCAGGGTTTGAACAACCCATAATGGCTTGCTGTGGGTACGGAGGTGCACCATTGAACTATGACAATCGGATCCTCTGTGGCCAGACGAAGACCTTGAATGGGAGCTCAGTTACAGCCAAAGGTTGCAATGATACAACTAAATATGTAAATTGGGATGGAGTCCACTACACTGAGGCTGCAAATCAATATGTCTCTTCTCAAATACTGGCTGGAAAATATTCTGATCCACCTTTCTCGGACAGGATGCCATTCACTTTCAAACTCAAGTTCTGACATCTGAGGGGCTAATTTGCTTCTTCTTCACTTCATGATCTAATAAGTTCTATTTATGTTTTTATTTCTAAGTAYTATTATCCATCTCTATACTATTTGCCTTTGTTTTGGTGTAGGTCATAAATGTCAAAAGTTTGCTAAAACCAGCCGGCAGAGGCTTGACCACATTATGTTTCAAATGAAGGTGCAGAGTGGTACATTCCTCCTACCAATTATTCTGAGAAAGTATTCTTAGAATTGCTGAAAGAAACAGAGTACAAAGAACACCCACCCAGTCTAGGAGTGCGAAGAGTAGAAATACAGAATGCCTAACACAGCTTACCCTCAAGGCCCCAATACAGAAAACCTGTAGGATATCCAAGGATTCATCATCATCTAAGCTTTATCCCAATTATACAGGGTCAGCTACATGAATCCTATTTCACTGTTCTGTTTAATGACATATTATCCTTAAATTATGAACACTTAAATCTTTTCTTACTAATTCGACCTATTATCCTTTTTGATCTACTCCTAGCCCTTGAGCAATCGATGGTTCTAGCCCCTTCAACATCAAAGTTCAAACTGTTCACTTCTTAATTCAAAGGCTCGAGGTCCTTGGTCTTGGTGTTCCTCCATTATTCCTTGTCTGAAAATCAAGGCCTACACAAACTATATAGGTTTAGTTTGCACTACTTGGTTGCGAAACCGTTTGAGGGGAGTTTGAATGAAGGGAAGATTTTGGTATAGTTTTTAGGTGTGTGATTCAAAAGTTTAGGAAGGTGTTAGTATTCTATCAAAATTACTCTCCTTAATTCTAGGAGARATAGTCCTATCCAAAATTGGTATTCTAACTTAGGTAGCCGACCTTGGCTCAGCTCCTTATAAATAAAGGTTGTAATCGGTTGAATGTAACAGGAAGAATTATTATTTTTCTCATTTGTCTACTTTGCTTGTTCCTATCATGGTATCATAGCCTATCTCCATCGCCGATATGAACACAGGCCTCTTGCTCGTCAACGTCGTGATCCAAGTTGTTGGACCAGTAAGGAACTGAGTAATTTAGATCTTCAATATCGTCTACTCCCTCCTTGTCATCAAGCATGTTCCGCAGTCAATCGAAGCAGAGGAGTCGTTGGTTTGGTCACAGACTTGGAAGACGGAGGATAGAGGATCCAAGCCTATTCCGCAGCCAACCGGAGCAGAGGAGTCGTCGGTCTGGTCGCAGACTTGGAAGACGGAGGATCCAAGCTTCAGTTCTCTGCTTACCTCTGTACCAGACGGAGTCGTCAGTCTGGTTGCAGACTTGGAAGACGGAGGATCCAAGCTTTAGTTCTTTGCTTACCTCTGTATCGGGCGGCAGAGCAGGAAGACCCTTGCGAAACACAGACGACTCATTCCTTCTTGCTTCAACAGGGTTCTAGATAGCCATTGCCGGCCAGTCGTAAGGCGTCATCGGTGCTCTTCGGAATCGCCTCTTCCGAAATTCTGTGCCATCTGCATTCATGCACTAGCTACATAAACTTGTTCCCCAGATCCAAAGTTTCTGTCCAACAAATAGTTTTCCAGACACAAGCTGTTTTGAAAGTGTGTACGGTCTTGGTGCTTCCGTTCTCAGCCCCGCCGTTCTGGAGATCGAGAGTTACAGCATTCTCCTGCGGCATTAGTGAGGGATAGAGAGCAAGCGTAYGGATCCATCACCTTCCCGACATGTCTACCACAACCACCACAACCAGTTTTTTTTGTGATTTGTGTTGCTCCGAAGATCTGTGTTTCTTCTCATGGATTCATTTGAAGTTACTCAACATATCTCTCATCCCATCACTGTTACCTTTGATGACTCAAATTATGATTTATGGTCCCAAGAGATGTGCAGTTTTCTCAAGGGCCGCCTTTTATGGCGATATGTGACTGGTGAGGTTCCTAAACCTACTAAAGTTGCTGATGAAAYAGAAGATAAGTTTGYTGAATGAGTAGAAAGATAGAATGGGAAAAATCATCAAATATTGACCTGGTTTCGCAATACTTGTATTGCAAGCATCAAGTTGGAATTTCGTAGATATGACTCCTAAAGAGGTATGGGATTTCTTACAAGCTCGTTATTCTATTTCTGATGATGTGCATCAGTTTCAGGTCTATAGATGTCTTCACCGTATGAAGCAGCAGCCTGAACAGACCATTCACAGTTATGTCTCTGAGTTACAAGTTCTTTGGGATCAGTTAGCACAGTGTGAACCTGAATGGGATAGTACCTCTGCAGCTACTACTTATTCTAAGCTTCGTCGATCGCAAATGTGTTTGGCATCTTCTGATGACTCTCAGGGATGAGTACGAACCTATTAGTGGTACTCTACTTCATTGTAGCCCATTGCCTTCCCTTGAAGTTGTAATCAAAGATTTGCTCTCTGAAGAAACTCGACTAAAAACACTTCGAGATGAATGATCCTTATTATCTACTAATGTTCTTGATACTCYGGGTACGTCTGCTACTTCTTCAACTTCATATAAATCTTCAAAACGGATTTTTTGTAATTACTGCAAGAAGATTGGTCATACTATTTTGGAGTGTCGTCGCTTGCAAGCCAAAAAGGCGTTTGGACAGAAGTCTTCATCCATGAGTTCTCAGGCTTCGAGTTCTACTGCAACTGTTGCCACAAATGATTCTTCTACTAACACCTCTCCAAAATTCTCTCTTAGAGATCTCCAAGCTCTCATTCACCAGYTCTAACCTGATTCTGGTATGCCTTCTAAWACAGTCTTGTCCGTCACTCCAGGCACTACCTCATCATGGTATTTTGATTCTGCCTGTTGCAATCATATGACATCCAACTCATCCCTGTTTACTTCCAAGTCAAATCATTCTATTGCACCAATTATTCATACTGCCGATAGTTCTACCTTAACTGTCACAAGTGTAGGAACTATTTCAACATCTCGTTTGTCACTTCCTAACACTTTTTTGGTACCTCAATTATCTTTAAATCTTATATCTATTGGACAATTATGTGAACTTGATTTTGAAATACATTTATCAAGTCGTGGTTGTACTGTGCAGGATCCACGGACAGGGAAGATCATTGGGACAGGCCGTAAGGTTGGTAGACTGTTTGAGCTATCATCTCTTCAATTACCATCTCTTGTTGCTGCCGTCATCTCTAGTGTCTGGCATTCTCGCCTTGGTCACATTTCTACATTTAAATTATGATTTTTAATTTCTAATGGATGTTTGGCTCCTGTTAAAACAACCCACGTTGATTGTGTTTCATGTCCTCTCTCAAAACATCATGCTTTGCCTTTTAATATAAGTAATTCTGTTTTTTCTGCACCGTTTGATCTTATTCATTATGATATTTGGGGACCTTCGCCTCATAATACCATGGGTGGTTCGCATTATTTTGTGATCTTTATTGATGATTTCTCTCGATATACATGGATTTATCCTATGCGTAATAAATCTGAATTACCTGCAATTTATATTCAATTTGCCACCATGATCAAAACTCAGTTTTTTTCTATCATCAAAATTTTTCGCACTGATAATGCCATGGAATATAGAGATTCTATCCTTATCCAATTTCTTTCACAAAGTGAAACTATCATTCATAAATCTTATCCCGGTACCTCTCAACAAAATGGGCGTGCAGAACGAAAAYATAGGCATATTCTTGATACTGTTCGAGTTCTCTTAATCTCTTTCTCTTGTCCTGAACGATTTTGGGGGGAAGCAGCCCTCACTGCGGTTTATACCATCAATCGCATTCCTTCTATTATTGGTAACATTTCTCTTTGTAAACGATTGTATGGCCATTGCCTTGATTACCAGTCTCTTCGTGTCTTTGGTTGTGCTTGTTTTGTTCTATTACAACCTCATGAGCATACTAAATTGAAACAAAAAACACGTCTATGTTATTTTCTCGGGTATGGTATTGAACATAAAGRATATCGATGTTGGGATCCTCTTTCCCAACGACTTCGCATATCTCGTCATGTTACCTTTTGGGAACATAAAATGTTTTCAAGTCTTTCCCCATTTCGAGTTACCACGACTTTTTCACTTTTTTTTCTGATCCTACTATTTCGCTTTTTCCTGATGATTTACCTGTAGGTCTGATTAATTCTTCCTCTGATAGCTCTAACAGTACTGCGCAACCTGCAACCTCTCTGACTGCATCTACCTTGCTATGGATCCTCCAGCTCTACCTTCTTTTGAGCCCTTAATTGCTCCTGATGAGTTCGACTCTGACCGTTCTGATGCTCCTTTCTGTCGTTCTGGTAGGGTCACTAAACCTTCCGTTCATGATTTTCATTGTTATTTTACCATTGTATCTTTATACGAGCCTTGCACCTATYGCGAGGCTAGTACTGACCCTTTATGGCAGAAAGCAATGGTGGAAGAAATTCAAGCTCTTACAAGCACTCATACTTAGGATTTAGTTGACCTACCTCCAGATAAATCTGCAATTGATTGTAAATGGATCTACAAAATCAAGACCCGGGCAGATAGTTCAGTTGAGAGATATAAAACTAGATTGGTAGCAAAAGGGTTTACACAGGAGTATGACATTGATTATGAGGAGACTTTTGCCTCGGTTGCCCGTCTCACCTCT